TGATGGTTGCTTTAACCATTTTCGTATAAATGATTATCCACAGATCAGATGTGTGTCACTGCTGTGGAAGCACTTTGGAAATGATGCACGCGCAGCGGAGCAGGTCACGCGCACCTGACACAATTTGTTGTTTGTATTTTTCGCTACGTTCTCTTTTTTGAATGGTTGCATAACGTTCAACTTCCCCGAAGATCTCGACGCGAAGCATGAAGGGTAACACCAGGTTCACTAATCTACCCGCACAATTTGTCCGGTGTCGGAATGTCCCGCTATGTTAGTACATTCTTAAAAAACAAAACACCATTTAATTTCGGGTTAAAATGTGTTGTAACTGCGTTACTGAGCATTGTAACGGGTAATATATTACCCACATTTCATTAGTAATGCGTTACATTACTTCGTTACAGCAAAAAGTAATATATTACTGTAACTCCGTTACTTTTGTAACGCGTTACACCCAACACTGGTCAGGGATGATGGTGTTGAAGGCTGAGCTGTAGAATGCTGCATGGAGGCCGGTGTAATGGTAACTTATTTTTGTATGTATGTTTGGGGCAGACCTCCCAAACCAGAGTTGGTGATTTTTGGAACATTGGTATGACTAGCAAAGACCGTTTGATGAGTTTTTATGAGTTTGAGTTAGATGACGTGTTTAACAAAACAGCAAGGTCACATTAATGTCAATAAAGTCTGCTGTTTTTGAGGAGAGATAACACATTTTAGGTTTTGGGAAATAAATAAATAAATATAATTCTCCAAATCCCTGTTGATATTATATATTTTATTTATATATTTTCACTTTTACACCTTCACATAGCACTGCATTGGAAAAGGGGCAAAATGTGTTAAAGTGTCATGTTTCTGTTACTGTCGGAATAAAGGCAGATAGTATTATTTCCAACTATAGATCAATCCAGAACTTAGTGGGTAGTGGGTTTGTTATCCTGTAGGAAAGGGGCTTAAGGGTCTACAACCTTTATGTTATGTAAAGTGTCTATTTTATGCTAAAAGAACAAGCCATCCCTGCAGTCCTTTGAGTCCCGGGATGCAAAACCTATTTTCCCCTAGCGGGACGCCACTTCTCTCCCTTTCACCCGCCTCGCTCTGGAAATTAGAATGACGTTCCACTAGTGAGGGGAAAGAATTCCCCGACTTGGCGAGTGAGAGGTGCAACGCCGAGAGCCAATTGCCTAAATGAAATTCCAGTAGGCTGCGAGATGAGTGGGAAGTGTTGGGGAGCCACCGAGCCAGGCTTCTGCAGCTGCAGGCCTGTGTCCTGTCCAAACCCTGAAAGACACTATCGCTTCTTTTTCTCTAGTCTGGATGGAGATATAGATCAAGGATTTTGTCTCAGTTGACTGCAACTGATGTTGTGCTCTGATACAGGTTGTTGTGTGTGTGTAGTATTTTCTACCTACATCTAGATCCTAACACCTACAGCAATTTCTTACTTACATAATCAGACTGTCCATCTCAAGTGAACAAAGGCGATTTCATTCAAACAGCCTGGAAGGGGAACTCTGCAGCAGATTTGTGAATAACCAGAGGAAGTGCACGAGACTGTGTGTTTCATGTTTGGATCTCACAGGAATAGACCTATTACTCAAATGTAAGGTAGGTCCCTTGTTGTCAGAGTGATAATGTATTTTCCTGCCTGGTTGGAAGATGAAGGCACTTTTATCTGTGCAACCACTGGAAAGCTCATTTCCTGGTCCAGTTTTCTTTCCAGAGCCTCGGTCCACCCACCGGCCTGGCCGCCAGAGCTGAGTCTACAGGGAGAGGTAAAGAAAACTGAGGGAGGGACACAAAGTGGGGGGGATGGAGAAGATTGGAAGCAGAATTAAAGGGGGGAAGATCATTTTGTTTTTGAGACACTACAGGTCAACAACACCAATACACTTTTTGTGTTTATCCAAAAATGTTATATTGCAGAGCAGACATTATTTCCCACTAAGCACAGGTGCTGAAACAGTTAGTGGGATTATGTGCCAGACAACCTGTGACAAACAATCCAAAACTTAGTCTCACAAGGTTTATGTTCTCATGCCTCTTATATTACTCACCTTGCAAATATCTTTCCCCAAACACTTCACAGCTGCTTTCCGTTTTGACACACTTTCTTAATGTTGTCTCTAATGTCAAAACCTGGCTGATAGCAAAAATCATGCCGTCTCAATTCAATTTGTCTGTACTTTTACTTTGAAAAAACCCCATTGCTAACTAGCCAAATTGCAGTATAAAGTATAGCCTTCTACATTAAAGTGTTCTTTGGGAATTATCCACATTTAGCATTCAAGTCTACAGCCACACTGAACTAACTAACTGCATTAGTTCAATATCTAAACTAATGCAGTTATGTGACATTTGTTGACCTACATTTTTTTAAGTCAACGTTTCAGTTTTTTCAGTGTAGGGGGCTCTGCAAGGGCAACTTGTACTTTGCATTAGCATGCTAACATGCAGATACAGTAATGACAATGCTAAGATTATTATGTTAAACTGCTCTGTTTATATAGTCACCCTATAGCTTAATGTGTAAGCATTTGCTTATAATACCAAATACAGAGCTGTCCCTAGAGCCATGACACTAGCATGGCTAACACAAGAGAACCAGGTAGGAAGTTTTGTCTACAAATATCAAAAAGCAATTCATGCTTCTGAGGACCTACTATAGGAGTGAATGCAAGCGATACATCCTAGATTTGCTCTGCGGTAAAGTGTCCAGGTTAATGAAAGCAATAGAGAGCAATATCAGAATCCCCAAATGTCTGTGTGTTTTCAGAGCAACAAAGAGCTGATGACAGGTCACATCTTTCACAGTGAGCTCATCTGTTGTTCAGAAATAGGCCCACTTGGCAGAGGAGCTCAAAAAGAACAGGCACAGACATGCATTACTATAATTAACATGTGGCTTATTTATTTATTAATTATTACTATGGAGAGGCATACATACATTACAGTGCAAACCATTCTTTGGCATACGTACAATACAATTGTCATGATAGGTACTAATATATATCCACATAGAGCACTGGCTAAGGGACAGTGTAGGTAAAGCATGTTCAGTCTTGCAGAGCAGTGCATCCATTGATACTTTCTTGGGAGGAATAAAAAAAACAAGGGAACTATGATGAAAACATTAGAGAAAAAAAAAGAACTAATACAACAGATATGTGACTACGCTGACAGGTAACATGAAAGCTCACAGTGCTTTGACAGCCAAAACATGGGACACTTGCCAAAATGCATTTAGCCTGACAGTCATTCATACACGTTTATGGATATAAATGAAAAATACAAAATTCATTAACATTTGAGCACAAGATATGTTTTAGAGAGAACATCAGAAAGTGATTGAGAGAGGAAAACAGATTTTAAAGGCTGTAAACACAAACCTGACCAGTACATTTGAACATTGATATGGTAACAGTTCACCAGTGCTGCTGCCAGCCCAGTAATCCATGTGGAATCCTGCAGGGAAGATTCCAGAGAGCATTATCCCTGTTTAGTGACAGATGCTCGCTCAGGACATTACTCAGAAAGAAAACAATGGAAAGGAACCCTGCAGCCACTTCTCCAGAATTATGAGCGGATAAAAACAGGAAAACAAAAAGGTGACGCAGGCTTCACTGAGTGGCCAGTGCACGGCGTACAAAGGGTGTACAGTCTAATACAGTCCATGTGGGCGGTCAGTGGAATACATTTCACAATAGCAGGATGGTGGAGTCATGTTTTGATTGACACTGTATCCCGATCATGAGTGCCCCTCCCCCTACAATACCCTTGCTTCCCCTCTCATATGGCTTCCATTAGAGCGGAATGAGGGTCAGAGCGCTGGAGAAGGCTGTGCTCAACACATGCTCTGCTGAATGACGTCACCCCGGTCTCAAAATCTTCAACATGGCAGAGAAACATGAGCAGGACAAGCATTCCTAACCTATATCAACACTGAAGACGGTGCTCACAGGGGAAATCTGAACACACATGAGAAGAAAGGGAAAAGATTGAGTCAAAGCGGAGGCCTGAGAAAGAAATGGGTGCAAGCGTGTCCTTGTCTAAACTGGAGCTGCAGGTCCAGCACGGCAGAGAGGAACAGTCAACAGTTATGGTAGCAGTCCTTCAATAGTGTGTAGTCGGTGGACAAAACACAATACATGAATAACAACAATCTGTGACCAGGCCCAAAGGAGAATACTGCCGTGGTAGAGCTAGCAGTACCAAATCCTGACCTCATTACAACATTTGTACAGAGTTTCATAGATAAACATGTGCTATTAATTTCATTTTTAGAAGTAACTTAATCACGCATTTGAGACTGAAGAGAATACTGGGACATAGTTCTTGAGATTGCAGTGGTAAAAAAAGGGATTTTCTCTTACTGCTTTCTGAAAGCAAAATGAAAGTTGGAAAGGAGCACAAATGTGCAAGAGCTGGTTTTGAGTGTCCTGCAATGGGGAGTGCTACACGGCTCCACCTCACTCAAGTTCAGGACAGCCGACAGGTTGTCCAGGTATAGAGGAGCAGTGATCAGTAGACATCTCTTTTGCGTTACAAACATTTTCCTAGGGCTTCACATTATCTTCATATGTAAGCATTTTAAAATAAAAAGGGAGGGAAAAACATATTAATAACATGATATAAAGCACCTTGGATTAAAAGATGAAATCTCTATTTATAGAAAGTCTCAGTTTGAATGAAACCATCCTCTCATTTGTGATTTATTATAAAAAGGCATATACTCAGTGTATAAAGGTTGCTTTGTATACAAAAACAATACTTTTAAGGTTTGTATTTAGTGATTAAATCATTAATAACAAAGGGGAAATAGCACCAGTTTTCGGCATCTCTAACCTGAGAAACAACAAGATGGCTGCCGCTTTTCAATCTACTTCCCTTTCCTGCTGGTCGACGGCGACTGGCCCTGTGTTTTGTCACAAGTGTTATTGGCAGGAGAAAAAACACAGCGGCTGTTTGTTACACTGAGCACAGGAGGAGAGGTTTGTCCGTCGTGTTTACAATCCACCCATTCATCGGTTCAGGAAATAAATCCATTTAGTGATCTCTGGCCGGCAGCCAGACCATTTCAAACCGAGCCTCAGGCTGCTGGCCCTGGTGGGGGCAACAATCCAAACATTTAAATATAGTCACCCCCTTCCCCCATCAACGGAAATAATAATACAAAATGAAAAGAAAAACTGAGGCTATTGGGTCAATTGAGGATATTGGTGGCAGTGGGTTGGCACACCTTCATGAGTCCCATCCTCTCTCTGTATGTCTGTGTGTGACTCTCAGCCACTAGAGTGTGGGCGGGTGGGTCCTGAGGGTTTATTCGTGGCGAGTGCCTGCTTCTTGCTGCTTCTTAACAACAGCCTGTGGAAAGCACAGAGGGCAGCAGGCTCCTTTTAGCTTGACAGGCTGCTTGCACTCGGCCGGTGGACAGGACTCCACAAAGCAGGTCACCTGGGTGTCCTGCAGCGGAGGAGAGGGACAACAGGTCAGTTACCTTATTAGATTAGACTGGAAGGAATGTCCCTGATTTGACAAGCTGCTGACACAAGATGTTAAAAAAACAAACATTAAACATGACTAAAGCAAATGGAAACTGTTATACATACTGTAGCAAAACAAAAATATGTAATCAATTACCGTAGTTCAAAAGGAGTTGTCACTCACAGGCATACATAATGCAATTGTAAATGAATGATCTGAATAAAGTCACAAGCTGGCACTGTCTTGTGCATGGGTTTGGCACCGAGTTACAGAAAGTAAACGTTTTGCCTCTTGTAAATGACATAGCTGGACTGAACAATTAAGTGCTTTGTTTCAGCGCAACACCACAATGTTTTGAAGCGAAAAATATTCTTTCCCACACAGTCCTTATCACTGTGCAGATGCCTGGCAAATTCAATTAGAACAAAAAAACCTCTAATCACAGTGAAGAGTGGAGGGGGGAAAGGGATAGTTATGTGGGGGCCAAGGCGAAAGAGAGAAACATAAAAGATAAAGTGATGTGGTTAGCAGAATAAAGGGCAACAAAATATAAGTGAGGGAAAGGAGGGCTGAAGATCAGAGGCATTCAGGTTTGGCATACAGAAAGTGAAGATAAGAATACGAGAAGTAGCCTTGATAGAGGAGGTGAAACACTGGCAAGGAGAAACTGGGGCATTTTAAATCAGGCTGACCATGTCCTCTATGAGAAACAGGGAGAATCCTAAACATAATCAGCACTTAGAGTGTGAAAACGAGTGCATTAGGGACTGTGCACGTGGTTATGTAAACCATTTGAACTCGATATTGATTTATATGTTGGACATACTCTGCATTCACATGTGGTGCAAGAGTCCTTTTTCCACCGATCTCCATCAGTCCGATCACGTCCCTCACTGTCAGTGCAGTCAGTCTTGCTCAGACGGCCCTCAAGCTTTTTAATCTGCAAAGACACAAGGACACATATACTCAGAGGAGCACGGCCATAAATACCTACTGCCAGCTACACATTTCACATTTTACAATATTTGAGTAAAATATACATCAAAGTGTCAATCCTGCAGGAGTACAACATCTACGATCAAGTGAAAAATATGACATTTCTTTAATCAAACTTCTCATCAAAAACCCACCTTATCAATAACACAATAATTCAGCACCCTCTAAAATACTTTTACCACAACTTTCTATACATCATGTCCCTTCACTTTAAAGTCTGCTGCTGACCAGAAGATGAAGTCAGGGTGCTGGGCCCCATCCTGAGGAATTAACTGTACCGCGGACGGGTTAATGAAAAACATGTCTGTCTGGGGCTCTGAATGTGTCCATGAACTAGGCTACAGCACAGCTTCAGTGCAGGTATTCAGCATATCAGAGATGAGACGAATAATGTGTGTGTGACACTCACCTGCTTTCGTAAACTTGTGATCGTCTTCTGCATATCGGTAACAAAGCCCTGGAAGTCGTTCATTGATGGTTCAGTGCTTTTTTTGGAGGTCTCATCTACCTTCACAGGACTTTCTACAGCTTCCTCCAACAGTCTATAAAGAAAAAACGTACATACATTAAGTCAGGTTCAATCTCAACCATCATTTCTCTATATGTCCTCTAGGACAGACAGTCTTAAAGCTCACCGAGAAAAGTAAGCTACATCTTATGAAAATAGTTTTATTTTAACCGTCTGGGTGTCATGGTTGGGTGTAGCATAGATGTGTTGTTTTGAATATTTAATTTAATTTAACTTGAAACTCAAACATGAACTTAGTTGGGTTTTGTTGGGCATGTTTTTTTCTGGTAGAAGTGTCTGAAAATTGGAGTGCTCTAAAAAAAAAAAACAATGGCGACGTAAAAAAGACTGTTTTATGAACACTCATCCTACTTAAATAATTATATTTTAGGCTTTTGATTTTGAGTTTTTTTTAGGGGGTTAGATGGTCTGTGTTTTTTTTATAGGGCAAGTGGTCCTTTGTTTGAAAACGTGTGAGAAACACTGCTGCTACTCAGTGGCATTTTTATATGTACAAAAGTGGTGGGGCACGAACAACTTAGATGTGTATAAGGAAAAAACAGACACTCATCACCGATGTCACAATATCAATCGATCCAGCAGAGCAATAGCCTATAGGCTAAACACAGAAGATCAACAAAAGATATGACATAAAATGAACTTGCCAAAGCTGAAGTAGATGGTCCACTTCATTCATTTTCTTTCCATTTTACTGATTTTAATCGCTACACGCTGCTCTCTCTCGTCTCCTCTTTACAAACAACTACTATTTTCGCGGCACACGTACTTAAAGCCAATCAGCTCTCTGAATTATGAGATGACGTTTGGTAGCTATGTCAGCACAGTGCCCCTATGGTGATTATTTTTTTGCCGCACACATTGAATAGAAAAATACTCTGAGCATGCGCAGTGTAGTTTTTACAGCAACCATTCACTTTCACAGTGAGAGAGCTTGACCCACATCGCTCAAAACGGCTAAATAGGCACACTGTAGACACTAATTAGAAGAACACAGACTAAAACAGCAATTTACAGACTAATCAGATGACTAAACATGATCTTAAAATATATATACTGTATATATATTTTTTTCTTGGATTTATTTGCATTTTTTTGGAATTATTATTTGAATTACTTTCTGCTGACACTAGGTGGGGCTTCCCCTAATGACCAGTCTCCACTGGTTGGACTATATTAACTACAGACTAACTTCTGAATTATTGCTGAAAAATCACAGTTATACCTGCCATGCTGAATTCATTTCACACAGAGACAGGCTTAGGATTCAGAGTAGTATTCCAGTAACATTATAGTCACACCTTGAGACCAAAACATATTCTTTCCAAACATTTCTTGTCCTTAAACCAATCCTTAATAACTAGAGTATGTTATGCTGAGTGACTTCACCTGGTTTCCTGGACGCTGTCTGCGGGTGCCTCCTCTTTGTAGCTGTGCTCAGCTGACCGGCGTCCTCTGAAGTGGTACGACAGGGCGTTGAACTGACCCTTAGTTCTGCAGTCTGTTGGGGTCCAACATAATACAACATGCAGTGATTCACTAACAGAGACCAAATCAATGAGTGACATTCACACGAAAATACATCTTAATTGTAAACTTTTCAAGATCAAGATATCATTTCTTATTCAATACGATAAAATACCAACAATAAGCAACTCAGTGAACACACAGAATAAAGAATACTTGTGCAGGGCGATCAGGTTAATAATAGTTTGCTTATGCACAAACACCCATTCACATGCATACATTCTCAAAACAGTAAACCATGACTACTGATGCCACTTTCCTGCTGCTTCAGAGTGCTGATCCAGAACTCTAAGGCTTATTGTATTACCACGACCCACTGCTAGCTGTACTACTGTACCCAGATCAAAGAGAGTAAGAGGCACACACACACAACCCTGCTCGTGCCCTAGTACACACATGCTGAGCCCGAGTGAAGAGGAACAAGAGACAGTCCCTAATAAATTGGGCGGAGGACAGATGAATGGGATCAGGCCCTGTAGTCAGGAGGGCTTCACCTCTATCTGTAAGAGTTTAGAGGTGGCTGCTCAGCCTCAGAGGGGCTTTGATTTACTAGACAACAGTCAGTAAAAGACAAGGACTATCTTAACACAACAAGGCTTCCTATCTCATGCTGATAGACACGCATGAGCACACAGATGCACGCTCATCCCCTGCTACACACACCTCTTCTTTCTGGCAGGATATTGTGTTGTTTATTAGCTTAGCTTTTCCCTTGTACATTATGTCAAGCAAGGGTGAAAACCGGGGTCAGAATCTGGGATGAAAGGAGAATAATTAAGTGGCACCATGTGCTGCTTATTAAAATGTTGTTTAAGGAAAAAAATCCCTGTACGCTGATGCTTGTTCCTCAAAGACAATGAATTGATCAGTGATGCAAATTAGTCGCTTTTCGGCGCCTCCCGCTTTTTTTAACGCTGCTTTGGGTGACTTGTGTAATTCGTGGAGAACCGAAGAGTTTTCGTTTTGGGGGGGGGTGGGGGTCCGTCAGTCCGTCCGTTAGTCCGTCCGTTAGTCCGTCCGACTGACGGACAACTTCTCACTTCAAAAAAGAAGAAGAAATCTAGATCGCAAAATAATTAAACAAGCGAGTGCCTGTTTTTCCTGGCCAAGGACAGGTTCCTTGAACACAACACGAGCGTAACGTGTCTTCACGTGGTTATGTCTCGTCTGAAAGGAGTGTAGACTCGACTAGAGTGCTTACGGAGAGCACCGGAATGCCGCTCCAGCGCTTCAAATATTGCAGTACCCATAAGGAGCTGTACACATGCCGCAGTGTTTGCGTGGCTGTGTCTTTAGTTGTAAGCACAGTGGCGATCTGTTGTTATTAGCATCTGGTTAGCTAGCTATGCTAACGAATTTAAAGAGCTTTTCTACAACCAGGTGGAAGAGAGCTCTCTCCTGAGAGGCTCAAATAACCTCAGCTCAGTGAGGTTAAGGCACACCTTGATATGATCATTATAGTTATTAATGAGACATTAGAGACTAAATGAAAAACAGGTATAAAATACTATATGACAGTAACAAAAAAGTTGTTAAAAATAACAAGAATAGAGTTTAAAAGGGGAGTGATATGTAAAATATCCAAAAAGAAAAAGCTGCATACAGTTCTGTTTCAAATGGGTGTTGAAAGATGTACCCATAGATCTCCTCATGTTGTTCTCAAAGTGCACCAGATTGATGCTTTTAACTTCAATATTTAAAAAAAAATCTTCCCGGACCCCCCAAGAGAAGGTTAGGTCCCCCCCACTTAAATCATGTTCACATGGATACTAAGTACATTTGCACACATCTTGTGTCCATATCTTTCGGTTTTGGTGGTCATGCCACACCGTCCACACATGCATGCATGCGCATGCGCGAGTCATTGTAAGATATCTGGATTAAGAGGTTGCGTTTTCTTTGCACATCATGAAAGAAAAGCCAAATGAATTGTCTGTGATTTTAGTTTTTTTAAGCAGAGGTTGAGTTCAACAATTTGTAGGGACCTCGGAGGATGTTGTAAAAATTGAAAGGAAAAAGGTTCCCCACCCCTGCTGTAAATAATAATAAAAACCCTTGATTTATAACTTAAAATATCTGTCTCCTATTGATCCGAGTATATTATAAATAATAGCCAGTTAATTGAAGCATTATAGCACAGGCCTTTGTCAGATGGTATATTACGCTGTTTCTTTCTGCTTCGGATAGTTCTCTCTTTTTTCACCATACCTGTGTTTGCATCACTGATTGATGAGTGGGCTTCATTTCAGTTTAGTTTAGTCTTTTGTTGAAACCTTAAACTAGACCTACAATACATCTAACACATCATGGAAATTAATATTGCCTCTTAAAGAGTGTACTGAAACCCATTTCTTCGATCTTTTAAAAATACAAGAAATACCAAAGCAAAATTCTGAATTGAGAAAAAGTCCAACAGCCTCCAGATGATGAAAGACATTCTGATGTGTTTACAGATACACATTCTAACACACAAAAAAAAACATGTTTTTTCCATGAACCCAGTAACTTACAACTTAGCCTACTCAGGAAACAGGAATGACTCATGTTAAAAAACATATTTCAAGCTCATTCAATTAAGTTCATAATTATGATTGTTCAATGCTAATTAAACAGATAAATGACACAAGGAAAACAATCATTAAAAACCCTAATGCTGGTTTATTATTAAAACATTTGTCTCACTTTCTCAGCTGCACATGGGTGGACTGTTTAAACAGGAAGTACAATCTCTTCCTCCGTACAATTACTGGGAGCAGTGTGTGAAAAAGACAACATTGGTTATGTCATGAGATTCAGAAAGAGGAGTTTAATGTTCCACTGAGGCTGTGATCCAGCGAGTAGCAACAGCATGACATTTGATTTGAAACGTTGTTTTACGCTGCTTTCACAACAAGGCCAGAGGAATTATCCCAGACGCTGTATGTCTACAGTTAAATCCCTTTCCATTATGAGGTCCTGAAGCTGGAACAATGATTGTTATTCCCCTTTTCATGTTTTCCTCCAAGTATCAAACACGGTCCAGTGAAATTAACACAAATAAATGTATTTGAAATGAGCTGTACAGACAGCCAAGCCCGCCCCTCCCTCCCTACACCCAGATCATGCAGACTGCGTGGGGCCTGATCTTGCGGAGGGGGCCTCATCTTGCGGAGGGATCCTCATCTGATGCAGAATTTAAGCGCTGCAATTGCGCCTCATCACATAACTTTGCGTGGGGCCACAAGTTGGCCAGGGGCAGCCCTGCAGACAGCAGTGCTTTCACGTAAATTGCATTCAAAGAATAACGTTATTCCTTTCAAAGGGGTTGGTCTTAATTGATTATTGGGAAGCCAGGCTGCCTTGAGCACGATGTTATCAAAGGGAAACAGGAAAAAGGATATTGTCCGGCTTTTTATTTTACAAAAACCGCCTAGATGCTGGACAACATACAGTGGGGCAAAAAAGTATTTAGTTAGCCACCAATTGTGCAAGTTCTCCCACTTAAAAAGATGAGAGGCCTGTAATTTTCACTCCTAGGTATACCTCCAGTATGAGAGACAAAATGAGAACAAAAAATTCAGAAAATCACATTGTCTGATTTTTAAAGAATTTATTTGCAAATTATGGTGGAAAATAAGTATTTGGTCAATAACAAAAGTTCATCTCAATACTTTATTATATACCCTTTGTTGGAGGGGTCAAACGTTTTCTGTAAGTCTTCACAAGGTTTTCACACACTGTTGCTGGTATTTTTGGCCCATTCCTCCATGCAGATCTCCTCTAGAGCAGTGATGTTTTGGGGCTGTCGCTGGGCAACACGGACTTTCAACTCCCTCCAAAGATTTTCTATGGGGTTGAGATCTGGAGACTGGCTAGGCCACTCCAGGACCTTGAAATGCTTTTTACGAAGCCACTCCTTCGTTGCCCGGGCGGTGTGTTTGGGATCATTGTCATGCTGAAAGACCCAGCCACATTTCATCTTCAATGCCCTTGCTGATGGAAGGAGGTTGTCACTCAAAATCTCACGATACATGGCCCCATTCATTGTTTCCTTTACACGGATCAGTCGTCCTGGTCCCTTTGCAGAAAAACAGCCCCAAAGCATGATGTTTCCACCCCCATGTTTCACAGTAGGTATGGTGTTCTTTGGATGCAACTCAGCATTCTTTCTCCTCCAAACACGTCTAGTTGAGTTTTTACCAAAAGGTTCTATTTTGGTTTCATCTGACCATATGACATTCTCCCAATCCTCTTCTGGATCATCTAAATGCTCTCTAGCAAACTTCAGACGGGCCTGGACATGTACTGGCTTAAGCAGGGGGACACGTCTGGCACTGCAGGATTTGAGTCCCTGGCGGCGTAGTGTGTTACTGATGGTAGCCTTTGTTACTTTGGTCCCAGCTCTCTGCAGGTCATTGACTAGGTCCCCCCGTGTGGTTCTGGGATTTTTGCTCACCGTTCTTGTGATCATTTTGACCCCACGGGGTGAGATCTTGCGTGGAGCCCCAGATCGAGGGAGATTATCAGTGGTCTTGTATGTCTTCCATTTTCTAATAATTGCTCCCACAGTTGATTTCTTCACACCAAGCTGCTTACCTATTGCAGATTCAGTCTTCCCAGCCTGGTGTAGGTCTACAATTTTGTTTCTGGTGTCCTTTGACAGCTCTTTGGTCTTGGCCATAGTGGAGTTTGGAGTGTGACTGTTTGAGGTTGTGGACAGGTGTCTTTTATACTGATAAAGAGTTCAAACAGGTGCCATTAATACAGTTAACAAGTGGAGGACAGAGGAGGCTCTTAAAGAAGAAGTTACAGGTCTGTGAGAGCCAGAAATCTTGTTTGTTTGTAGATGATCAAATACTTATTTTCCACCATAATTTGCAAATAAATTCTTTAAAAATCAGACAATGTGATTTTCTAGATTTTTTTTCTCTTTTTGTCTCTCATAGTTGAGGTATACATAGGATGAAAATTACAGGCCTCTCTCATCTTTTTAAGTGGGAGAACTTGCACAATTGGTGGCTGACTAAATACTTTTTTGCCCCACTGTATGTTGAGGCATTTTCTATGCTGTTACACTATTTCTCTCACCTTCACAGCAGTCCTGCCACATGCGCAGGTCGATCTGAGGGACGTCCTCACAGCTGCCGTAGCCGTGGGGCAGCTCGGCCACCCTGAAGACGTCGTGCTGGACGCGTGTGATGTTGTCCCCGTTGTCACACAGCACCCGTGTCAGAGAGGCCTGCTTCAACTGTGTCAGTTGGGCAGGAGAGAACACGCCCGCGTTTTCATACCAGAACCTGAACAAATTAAACAGAGGAAATGGTAGTGATGGAGAAACACCTGGGGAAGATGTCGTTAGCTTTAATTTTAAAGATTCCTAAAATAAATAATATCAGAGATGTAGTACTAAAGGTGCTGATAATAATTTCTATCACAATACGATATCATACTGTCGGAGAAAGAAGCATTGGGATTGGATAAAGTGCAGCGGACCTTGAGATGATCAACATCAGTTTCTCATCCCAAAGCCAGATGGGAGCTAAGCTAACCAAGCTAGGACGTAAGGCTATTGTTTTACGCAGACTGCTCCTGGTTGATGTTTGATCGTTGGAATATAAGATGGATGTAATGATTTTATTTATTTTACAGTGACCTGGCTGCATCGTGGTATTCTGGATCAAGCTATTGGACTTGATGGGATGACCAAAGAAAAGAGCACAGGACTCCGGAGGGACAAGAGGAGGTGGATCAAAGTTGATGGAGATTGTTTCCCTGAATTTTTAGGTTGAAATAATTGTATCTGCTCAAAGGATTCAACTGTTTGTTGCTGCTGTCTACTTTTCTCCTGAGGAACATGAATGATCTACTGTTTTTGCTGGTTTGGTTCTGTTTTTCTTGTGTAGCATAATCAAGTAAATAACTAAAAACTGCATTTCCTTGTGCAACCAAATTTTACAGAATGACAAAACATGATATTCAAATTCCTTCAATGGCGAGGTGAGATGTTGCTGTACCTGTCTCCATCCCGTAGGCGCTTGAATTGAGTTGCCAGCAGACACATGAGGGTGGGCCCCAGTCTACTGCCAGGGACCAGATCTTCAGCCATCAGTGCAGGGAACAGATCGATGTTCAGAGGAGTGCCATATAGCCTGCCGCACAGGGAGGATCGTTATTATAATTATATATTAATAATATTATCGTTGTTAAGTTGTCTCAAGAAAATGTATAGATAATTCCAACAACTATGAATAATCATCTTGAGTTTATAATTACCTCTGCAGTTTCTCTCTGACAGTAGGATTCTTAATCTCATTCCTAAGGTCATCAAATGTTTGTGCTGAGGTTAGGTTGCAGAAGGTCCTGTAATCATTGTACGGTGGTATACCGTGATCCCTCCCTCTCTGAATATTCAGAGCAGCCAGATCCAGAGCCACAGCGTGGACCATGGAGAACAACCTCTCCGTCAGCTCTGTATTCACCAGCTGAGTGGAAACCCTCATTTTACCAGCGACACCAAAGAGCCCGCGAAGGAGTGGGTCGATTCCGCCCTCATTCACGATGCGGAACGGAGAGAAGAAGGCCCGGTGCAGGGAGATGTGTCCCTGGGGGATGGGCTGGAAGTCCTCGTCTAACCTGTACAGTATTGGGTTGATGAGGGTGTGCCCGAAGCGGAAAGCAGCAGTGGCGAAAGCATTTAGGATGCCGGTGTTAATATTTGGGTTGTAACCGGTGTATGTGTCCATCAACTTCATGCCTGCATCACCCAGGATCTAGGAAAAGGAATGTAATAGTCACACTTCTTATCATCATCTTTAAAAATGCCCTTATAGTTTTTTTTGTAAAACAAAAGGCTGTACAAATATCATAACAGAAAACCAATAAGATGACAGCTGTTACCTTTGGCAACCAGTGACTGTAGGTGATGTGCTGCATCTGGGCCCCCACTATCTTCCTGGCCTCGTGGTAGATGGTGTCTCCGTCCCAGTGGGGGTTCAGTCTCAGGAGCTCTGTGGCTATGCGGTTGTGTTCTCTGAACCACAACGTGTGCATGGCGGTCAGACCGAGCTGCTCATTGGCTCGGTGATCTCCAGCTAAGAAACATGGAATTGGACTCTCATTTTCGTCCTTCATGCACTCGGTGGGTGGCCCAGAAGCAAATGGAAGAAGAGGCTTCCCTGTTCGCTGGATGATACCTTGCCGGAGCAGACCCCTTTGGCTTGCCAAATCGCGGATTTCCTCTGACTCGTGCCGTGAACTGCCGTAAACATTTGAGGCGTCGATGTAAGAGGTCAGCTGGTTGATTTGCTCTCTCGGGTAAACGCTGTTCATGAGAAGGGAAGTCATCCCGCTGCCACACACAGGGCTGGATCGGACAAAGAACATGCAGCGGGCGCCACTCCGCAGCTGCCGAGGGTCATTGGGTGGAAACTGGATTGGGTAGCAGGGCGGGTCATTGGTGCAGACCTGCGTACACAGCTGGCCGTCGGAGAACCGCGACTGGCTGAGGGCTGCCACTGTCGAGTCCATATCGTGGTCTAGAAACTGACCCCATTGCATGAGCATGTGGGTGTATCGGTCATCAGGGGTGATGGTCTCTGTGCCCATCATGAAGGTGGAAACCAGCCTGGGCAGAGGCAGACTGTGTCCATTATGCAGCTGCCCAGTAGCACCTCTCGGCAGGTTGAAACCATTATCATAGACAGACTTCAGCAGGCGCACAAAGGCTGTGAGTGAAGCGCCCCACATGGGGTGCTGCAGGTTGTTGCAGGTCCCGTCGTGGCTGCGGTACTTCTGGTGGAAACAAATGTCAGAGCAGTTGTTGAAGCGACGGTGGGCCGTGCAGCCGGACAGGTTGGCAATGACCTCCAGGAAGTGAGGGGACACCAGGTCGTTGTAGCGAAATGCTGTGGGAAAGAACACATAAAGAGCAGTGTTAAAAAGCTTCAGAATTGTGACACTAAATTCACGTAATGCAAATATTTGGATTAAAATACATCATCCAAGCCATCAATTAGCAGCAACTGGTTTCAGGTAATATAATTCACAGACATGTATCAAATGTTTTTATAGTAAACAGAGGAGAAAGAACCTCCTGTCCCGGGGGCACAGGTTGCAGTATTTTCCTAACCTGCCCATACTTGCTTTGATATGCGAGCGCTCCTCTGTTAAAGCTCCAATGTACTGCAGTGCATGTGTAGGTCTGTGATGTGTTAGCAAGGTGCTGTCACGGTTATGCATGAGAACAAGTGTTAAGTGTGAGCGGCCAACCTCAATGAGGGTAAGGTGAGACTTCCTGTCGAACATTAATGGCAGAACCTACTTCTAGCTTCAGGCCTTGCCACCTCTTTTTATTATTATTGTATTGGTTTGTCGCGTGTGGTTCTGTATGTAAATGTGTGGGAAAACAAAAAGGGAAACTGTGGTGCTGCCATCTCAGATAGAAAAAGAACGGTATGTGTGTTTCTGCTGACGGGCAAAAAACCGTTGGCTTGTTTTGGTGCCAATGCAACAATGAACACTTGATTGTTGGCATAAGTAAAGATAACACTGTCTCTCTCTCACTTTCTTTATATTTCACAGAGCTCAATTTCTCTTCACCTACCTCTTTTACTCAACCTTGCAAACATTTTTACATTGTGCGAGATCACTCTTTTTATATTTTTAAATCTGTTATTTTTCTTGGAAATAGAAAAATATGAGACACCATCCCCCAAAACATAGGCTCTGTACACAATCAGCCATTTTGACTTTTGTTTTACTTTAACCCTCCATTACAATGAGTACCTTCATGTACCATACATAACTTTGTCCATGCTTATGTGAATGCAAATAAATAAGGCAAATCAGCCCATATTTTCCCAATTTCCCCACACACATGTATAATTGAGACAATCTGTGTTCAACAACACACATCATTTTAAAATGTGTCCTGTGCTCGGCAGTGATTGCAGGTTAAGTGTTGTTGGGTGTGACAAACTGGAGGGCTTATAAAACTGTTTACAGGCTCCTTGTCAAATGCTCCATGATTATGACTCTACGCCTTGGGTCATGCTTAAGAGGAAATGGCATACAGATGGGGGTCCATCCACAGCCAAGTGTTGCTCATGATAACGTCGTCGTTCACAGACTGGTTGAGAATTGAAAAACTGGTTGCATGAGATTTTGCTTAGGAAGCTGAATGGGAGCTTCTCACTAAATCGAGAGTAAGATTAAAGTACAGTGTTGCATGTCCAATGACAAAAATGCGTATCGGTGTCAAATTAGTCTTTTTAAAGTGATTATAAAACAACATATAAAGAAAATATACTAAGTTTACATACTTATAAACTCAAGCTTTTTAAAGACTTTGAAAGCCACAGATTGAATGAATCTTTTAAACAAACTGAATCTATATTATACATTTGTACTGATTTCCACCTTTATTGTGAGAGCAAGATGTTTGTCTTGATGACGTCAAACTCATTCAAATATAAACACCTATTAATCATTTTTTCCAAACATAAATTATTTCCAGTAATTACTCCACTACAGCATATTCAACAGCGATGGTGGGCCAAAGGATCCGCCCTGCGACAGGACCGAACCGGAGAGCAGACTCCCAGAGGCCCTCTCAGGTTGTTCACGCCCTGATGCAGAGGTACTTGTCTTTATACAGCTACAGAGTGACAACTGATGCGATCATGTATCAAGTAACAACAGCAGCAGAACAGATGTTTGGTTATCAGACTCACCTGTGCCGTTGGTGTCCACCATGAGACCCTGGTTGACGTGGTTCTGGATGAGCAGAAGCGTCTGCTCGAAGATCTCCCCGGCACGCGCCTGCTCCACTGTGTAGGGGTCTCGTGGATACCGGAAAAGGGCAAGCAGCTCTCCTGGGGTACGAGGCTGACTGGAGGGATGAGGGATAGAGAGATGATGTAGAGAAATTAGGGACGAAGAAGAGTCAAAAAGAGATGCTGTTGTTTGTAGAGGAAAGCTCCATTTAAATAGCATTCTGCCGAAACTTGATTTCACTTTTTCTGAGGGGAGGAAAAGCAGACCGAGCTTTTCTCTGACCGGTCAGAGTTCAAACATAAGGACCCCAAAATATGCACAACCATCATATTGATTTTACTTTAGTTATATCTTGTCAATCATTATTGAGTTTGTGCGCATGACTGTGGGGTTTTGTACCAAAGTCTAATGGACTGGTTTACTTAAGCTGCTCTTATTAACAAGCAGTAACTTGTGAATCATTAAAATACAAACCGAATCCACAGGTTTACACAACAAAAACATACATTTTCTCATTTGTTAAGAACATTTCGAGTATGACATAATGCACATGTAAGCCAAGTTACTTGTGAAATATGAACACTTTATTTGACATCTTAATGTGTTTTGTTTTTGTTGGAACAAAAAGAGCTACGCTGCTTTTTATTGGATCTGCTACAGCAGCAACACTCTCCAAACGCATGTATTCCGTGAAAAACAACATAAATCACATGCAGGATAAATTATTTGTGTTGTTAAGGACATTTTTCGTCCTCCTACATTGGTGTGCAGCCGACTGATCGAAGGTGTTTTAACACTATTCTTTCATGTGGGAAAATGGCTGCCTTAAATCCAGTTTGGTTTGATAACTTGAAAAAGCTGGCAAAACAGATGCAATTAGTTTCTATAATGAACAACTGCTGCCATCAACAAACAACATGCGAGGTCTAACGGTCTGAGAGTTAGCAGCAACACCGCCAATATGCTTTATGATCCGAGTAACAAGTGCTACTACCTTCGATCCAGATGCGATCTCCGCCTCCAGTGTCATTCTGTTTTTTTTGGTGTTATTTCTAAATCTTGTTTAAAAAGCCTGGTGCCAACAGCCAAGAAGGAGGCTGCCTCTTAATCTGTGATAGTCATTAAAGAGAGCTGGAAATCCCCTCATCTGTGTGCTCATGTGAGCCTTTCTCTTCTTTATGTGTCTATGCCTCTATGTGTTTGTGCCTGCATCTGTGGGCAAAGTGCGTGTGTGTGTGTGTACATGCAAATAAAAAACACAGCAGCTAACCACATCATTCAACAGGATGGAAACACTTATGAGAGATATTAAGGTCACTTACAACTCTAACAGGGACCGAGTGCAATGAAAGAAGCAGTGGTTAGACAAAGACTACATCATTTCCTTCATCATCCCAACAATGAGTATAATGATGCACTGATGTAATAGAGCTTTAAAAACTGTAAACAAGCAGTCACAAATATTGACTGCAGCTGTCAGAATAACTGGCTGAATAAATGGCCGCTCCCAAGGCACCGTTTTTAATTCAAGCGTTCTGATTTACAATTTTAAAACTGCAAACCTTGTGCACTGAAAGAGGAAAGAGCAGTAATATCAGCAGCTATTCTGAATGGCCACAGTCTTTCCCTGAAGGCTCTGACTCAGACTCAGAACATGCAAGTCATGTGCCAAGCTGATGTGAGACAAGCCATTTCTGTATCCTAACTTAGGCCCCATGAGCTTGAGCTCTGGGCTGAGTCTTGCGAATGGATCTGGCCCTTCCTACATCCAGGACATGGTTAAACCGTACACCCCAGCACGTGCACTCCGCTCTGCATCAGCCAAACAGCTCGCTGCACCCTCACTGCGAGGGGGACCCAAGTTCCCATCAGCAAAAACTCGTGGGTTTGCTATCCTGGCTCCAAAATGGTGGAACGAGCTCCCCATTGAAATCAGGACAGCAGAAAGCTTACACATCTTCCGGCGCAGACTGAAAACTCATCTCTTTAGACTCCACTTCGAGCGATTGAATTACTAACAAAGCACTGGATAAAAGCGTCAGCTAAATGCAATGTAATGTAATGTACAGGGGAAATAGTTCACTAAGTCCAAATGTATAATGACTAATGACAAAAATGTTGAAGATTGTTGCTCTAATTTGCATAGTTAAATCTATATCAAAGATTCAATTATTTTTAAGATAATTTATATTTTTGAAATGCTCTTTGCATAAAAAAATATTAAAAGAATGCTTGTTAGCTAGCCTTCTTACAGTGCAGACGCTTTTCTGCTTGCTCTTGCCTCTGCTTACTTTTTTATGCTGATTTTCCTATTTTTCTTTTCTGAAAACTTCGAGCAGCAGCTCCTGTACATTGACTTATCACTGGGACAGTTATTCTTCGTAAATAGACGGAGGGTTTCAGCCATATTTCAATATTTTTCC